TCCAATATACTTTAGAGTAATTCATATCTTTCAACTCACCAACACATGACCTAAGTTTTGTATTTTCCTCTCCTTGATCATGCTTAATAATTCTTCTAGAATTCTCGTGCTCCGAAGTACCCCATAGTCGGACATGGAATTCTCAAAATTCATCTGTACATATACATCTCAAAGGCATATATTCTTTTCATTTCTTTTCTTTTTCTATTTATTCAGAGTCCATTGTCCACCTTTCACAACCATACGTTCAAACCCCGATGGCTTAGAGCTTAGGGGAGCCCGCTCACTAGATATTGACACTGAAAAGTTATTTCGGTAAGTTGAAAGCCGTAGGGAGATTTGGGATATATCTTCTGAAGAATACTGTGATTGAGAAGTGAAGAAACGAGGATGAGAAGAAATTATCAATATAATGTGCGAACGGTAAATAATTATGGCCTCTTTCACGTCCATATCTGTTAACGAACGGACAAAACTGTCCGTCGCTTCGATTTACTGCTCATATCTGCCCGATGCAGATCTAATCTTGTAAAAAATGTTTTCATGTTCATGAGAGATTCACTACCTTGTTGATAGAATTTTTTTGGATTATACTGGCTGTTGATATTTGCTCCCAAATATTTTATGTAAATTACTTGTTCTATTATTTGTTCCTCGACATACAAATATACGTTTGTTGGTATTTTTGAAATACTAAAATTTTAGTATATAGACTTATAAATAACAGTAGTTCTATTTTATTTATATGTATGTTTCCTTCGTTTACGTAATTCTTTTGTTATAGTTAAAAATATAAAAGATTTATGAAGACTGGAGCGTTTTAATTTTAACTGTCAAGAAGGATATGTAATATGCATAGTTTGAAATATAAATACAGTTCGTTACCCGTGTACTATAAGTATATCTACCATAATGAAATTCTTTATTTGTTGTTCATACAGTTGGTCAAATCATCCACTAGTTGTTTATATTGACTTCAAATAAGATTGAAATTATTCAAAGCACTTAAATGTTGCTTATTTTTACTAACACATCGTGTCATCTTTAACATAGTGCTGGCACTGTTATTTTCTACACGTAAGAACCACCAGTACGAACCCGATTCTGATAAAAGAACGCTGTACTATTATTTATATCTTGTTATTACCCTTACAGTGCAGATGGAAGGTTCTTCATCGAATTTATGTTATAATTGATTGGCTTGTGAAATGTGGACAGTATAAATTGTTTGTAATAATTCACTGGTGGACAGTTTTACGGGTACCAAAATAGATGAATTAAGACGTATTTTTAAAATTCCTTGAATTTGATAATAGGAACCGTAATTGTTTTGGATGCTTTTGAAATGGACTATAAGTAATAAACATTAAAGCTGCATTTTTTATCTATTATATAAAAAATAAACTTTTTATTTAATCAATATAAATTTGGCAAATAGTGCTAATCTTGTTTGGTCATATTCAGGATATGTAATGGCTGTAAATCAAATTTATCTGTCAAAAGAACCCTTCACATTTTCGACACCATTAGCTAGTATTATTAATTTGGAATATTTAACAATATTTAATGAAAATGAGTATGATTTTCAAAAATGGTTTAGATGATTTCGGGCGGGAAGACTTTTAGTAAAACCATCGGTTGCTGCAGCACCCTCGTAAAAGTCGTGCCCTAGAGAACGGCGCACGCCAAACTTGCCTATATAGTTTCACATTGACTACCTAACCTAGAAAATCCAACTACAAGGCGCCGTTCTACGACCCGAAAACTTTAAAAGGATTCTCGAACAAAAGACGGCTTAAGCTAAGTACTATACCTCAAACATATATAATATGTAGATTTCGTAACAAATGTATTTTCATTGCATGTATTATTAATAAGGTTTATGTTTGTTAATACTTCCTATCATATTACGAAATGTCTGACCAACGTATAAACTCTTGAATATAGTTAAGCTGCTACGTACGCATAGAATAAAATAGCTTTGTACTGTATCCCAAAAATATTCTTAATATAAATGAGGTGTTTGTTCATTAATTATTTCTGTCATTTTAGCACATATTTGTAATAAGTATAAACTAGAATATAATTTAACATGTAATATGAATACAAATATTCTTAGAATAGATCCTAAAGGATGAACATCAGATGGAGGGGAATATGTTCCTGAATTACAAGAAAGAACTTAGTAAACATATATAAGAACGTGTGAAGACAGTACTATGGCCAGTAATATATATAAATATGGGACTATAGTTTCGATAATTCAGTCTACTTCGTAGATAACAAGCGTTTCACTAAATCAGCCATCATAAAAGTTATAGAATTGTACATTTTTCTGGCCAAACATTTAATACATCAACAAAATTAAAATACAAATTGGAAGGTATACAATAGACACACGAACATTAACACTTTGACTGCCATGAGAAGCATGCCTTAATGCACGGCCAATTTGATTCTGTTGCCGCGAGAATCAGCTTTTGATTCTCGCTTGTATGTTATTTATATGGGATAGAAATATGTCCGGCTCGTAGGACCCTCTTTTTTTCACTATGGCGGCAGTCTAAGTGTTAAATATAATGCCAAATAAGTTCAATGCCTTTGAATCATGAAGTAACTATGATAAATTGAGAAAGTAAGTAAAATTAGAATACAATGAACCCGATTTCGTAACATCCATAAAGAACGGACGTCTGCGCTGGATGGGCCATGTTGAACGGATGTTGGAGACTGAAACGCCAAAACATATAATAAGGCAAACTCTAGTAGTGAGAAGGTCAAATGGAAGACCCAAACTTAGATACATGGAACAAGTGAAACAAGATTTGAAAACACTTAAGATTACCAACTGGAAAACCAAAGCAAAGAACATAATAGAATGGCGGAAAATTCTAGAATGTCAGGACCCAGAAAGGGTATCGAGCTACTGATGATGGTGATGAAGTAAATTTAGAGAAGTAATATACTGTTGAAAATTTCTAGGATGATCAAAGGGTCTTGGCATTATCTTCCATGATTCATGAAAACACGGGAAATCGTAATCAAAAAGGAACAAAGAAACACAGAAAGTACTGTGTACAGAACTGATCCTGAAGAAAATCTCTATAGAAATATTTTTTAGAAAATGCACCTAGAGAAATTATACAGTTTTACTACGTTGGACAAACTTGACGTTATATGAAAGTGAGAATTTGGGAACATAAAGGTAAACAACATAGGCTTGTTAACAATGATGTGATTTTTTTCTGTTAATGTGGATAGCAGAAATGTTATATGGAAGGTAAGTACACAATGCATTTAAGAAACAATTTTTGGATGCCAATGTTATATTTTTTATATGAAATTTTGAGATATAGTTAGCGCAAGTGGTTGGTTTTAGTTCGAGAATCCCCATACTTCACTCGCCATCAACCTTATTGAGCATTATACATTACTTATTTTATTATAACATATATATACTGAAAAAATGTCATTTAAAGTTGCTACATCTACTATTACACGCGTACTAAAATATCTTCTTATGATATTATAAAATATAAAACGCGATTTTCTTCTTTTCATGTTTTTTTGCTTATTTTTTTCTATAAATGTTTAATATAAATTGTGCCTTGTGAGCTATTCTAGAGACTACAGTACTCACTAACATGCAGGGAATGAAGAACAACACCCAACGACTAACGTAACCATGCGGGAACACAACGAAGCGGTGGTCTCGTATAATGAAAAACAAAAAATTTATAATTCTCGGATGGCTAACATGTCTGAAAACAAAATTGGTGACGCTTTATCGTTTATATCTTTTTCATCCAAATTTTGTATTTTTGTGTCAATATGTAATGTGTGTATTAGTAGTAAAATGTCTTGCTTCTAAGTAAACTGACCGTCGTTATCTTAACAAAGAGACCTTGATAGAGATAGTCCACGTAACTGATTTGTAAGCAATTCTTGTCCAGCATCAATAAATAAATATTTTTTTTTTATAAACAAGAGTAGTCAATCTTTTATATTAGTGTTTACAATTTTAATATTTGTCTTTTACGTTTAAATGAATAAAGGGATTTTTCAATGGCTCATTGAAAATATAGAAATATCCGAGATTGGTATTTTACAGTGAATACGAATGTCAGCTTAAGAAAAGGAAAAACTGTCTCAAGTTCTGACAGACTTTAGAAAGTAGTGGTTATGTTTGAAATCTTGAGATATAAATAGATGGATTAGGGCTTTCTCTTAAAATGGTTACAGCTCTAGTTTTACTAGAATATATGAACACGGCGAACCGCCGAGTTCGGCCTTCCAAAATATTATAATTCATAATGTTGTATATATGATAGGTGGTTGTTTGATAACCATCCAGAACTTCATACTCTATCTTGATTATTGTTTCTGAAATGTTGTCTTCGTTAGAACCGTTTCCAACCATCAAGACGATACAGACCGCTAAATAGATTTCTTACTATATGTATATGTATATATTTTGGACACATCATTTGCCGACAATATAATGAAGAGAGTAAGTCGGTGCAAACAGCACGAAACATGGAGGCATATAAATCAGAACTAGTAAGATTGATTATACCTTCAGAGGGAAAGTAAAGCGCTCGAAAGAGAAGGAAGGTATTTTTATTCTATTAGAAAATAGAAGAAGTCCACGCGTCCCCGAGAATATTGTTTTGTGATTTTCATAACATTACTGTCTTAACGCCATATCTAACAAAGGGCCCATCGTAGTGAAGCAAAAAACATTTTTTTGGTCCTTATTAAGATCAAAACAAAAAAATTCACATTTTCTGTAGAACCTTTCGTTTTAAAAAGGTTCTATGTAGTACTTGAAAACTGTCCCATGGATTTTTTATTGTACTCAATGAAAACGATATTAAAATATTGAAATATTTCTTAGAAGTTGTCAGTGCATCATTTTTATCGAAGGACCAATTTTATGTTTAAACAGTTGCCATAACCGAGATAGCAAAAAAGGAAAATAAAAAAAAAACAAAAAATATAAATCACGAAAATTTTATTTGGTAGCAATTAAATTTATATAAAAAAGTCAAAAATCTTAATTATTATTTTGCTAGCGCTCCAAGGTTCAGTCAAAGTGGCTATTGGCGGTGTAGTCTTGTTTCGTACTCAGCATCTAAATATTAGAAAAAAATTTACCGCCCTCCGACTTTCACTGCCCTCTAGATTGAGACCGCTTAAGCGTAAGGTCAGTCACTATTTAAAAAATTCGTACTAATTTATAAATTTCTAAATAGAAAACACACTTATACATTTAATATTCAAAAACCAATAAAAAATTACAAAAAAGAAATCACTTCCAGGATACTTTTTGTCTAAAATATCAATATAAATATATAACTAATTAAAAATGTAATTATACTATTCACAGCATCCCTTAAACCAACACAGGATTTAATTTCGACCTTTAAATTCCTTTCATACTATATTCTAAACTTATGTATAGTTATGTTTTAACATTTTACCTTAGATTAGCGCAAGACACTGTGCGGTTTAGATTTCACTATTTGTGTTTAACTGTCAAATATATCTTGGAGAAATGTTCTATTCGTATTATATCTAATATTGAACTTGCCTAGCTCTGTTGAAATAATATTGCCTAGCTTTTGGTCCTATTAGTGAATTATAAGCTGTTGCGCAAAATGAATTACTTTTGCATTTTGCATTTGCATAAAAACAAAATATACCAATTTTAAACTACGTACACACCTTAAAGCTGTTTGCTGTAAAAGCAAAGCCTTGATCTAACATCAAGACCGCACTTTGCAAGTATCTAAGAAAGCTATGTTCATTGTTATTATTTTTTTGCACAAAGTTTATACTCTTGTATAAATTAGATCTAGGTCAAACAACTGTCAATGCCTTTGTAGTTTTATCGTGAATATTACTGTAAAAATGTATCAAGAAAATATCAAAGAACGCATTAAGGATTACATATTACATAAAACTTTCAATGTCGTAAGGAATTTACTTTTTAAAGTCATCCAACTTCGTTTCGACTTCCAAATTTCTAGGAAGTTATAATCTAAAACAATTACTAATTAGAACTATTGTGAAAGCGCAAGTGTCTATGGAAGCTTAAAGCGTTAATAAATATAAAATTTACCAAAATATAAACTTTTGAGTAAACCAAATGATTAAAGAACTCACATATTTGAAAGCAAATATAAAACTATAAATATGCAATTTATAAAACAAATTAAAATTTATTCTTAATCTTTATTAAAATGGATCAGAAAGTAGCATTATAATGAATAATGGTAAAAACAGTTTAGAATACAGTAAAACTAAACATAAAGGACATAGATCAATACCAAAGGCATCCATAATATTTGGATCCATTTGTAATAAATCCTGTGATGTGTTGAGGTCAGCAGCGTACTCTCAAACATTCTCAAAAGTCATTCTGCACTCAACTGTGGACATGTACTTGTACTAACATTCATAGTTAAATATCTTCACAAAAATATGTAAAAAAATAAAATAATAATTGTAATAATATGGTATTATAGTTATAAAACAACAACTTATATACAAACGTACAAACAAAACTAAGTCACGAACTATTCTCAGACTGACTCAGACTGGCTAAGCAATAATAATAATAAAATATATATAAATTTATATAATATCTAATAACGATTTTTTCCAATTCTACAATAAAAAAATAAATAAAAACAAAATATAGTTTCTTAATATATATTTAATAGGTATATAAGCGCATGAAAGCCAGTCTGCGCCAGGCAATGAGTTTCGATAGACCATTTTCTAGAGAACGGCTATCCTGTCATCGACATATCATAACCACTACATCTAAAATGCCTTCAAAGACATGTTGATGCTTACACGACTTACAGATGTTTAAGTAATTCCAACAGATTATCTCAAAAAATTTTCAAATCTCAAAGGAGCTTATGGCATGGTGAAGGAACCACAGACGATACAGTTGATTTAGTTTAAGTGGCTTGAAGAGTTACAAACGTTTGTATAATTAAATATATTCCATGTATAGGTACTGTGCAGAAATAAAAAAAAGTTAATGCAAAAGTGCCCATAAACGTAACGATGGTAACGATAAAATGAATCGCAAAAACTTGAAACAATTAATATACTGTCACCAAAATAAATATGGCGACGAAGAGAGAAATAAGGTGGAAGATATAAACTGATCAGTTAGTCATAAGAAAAATGGAATGATTCTTAGAGATTTAAAGCTATTAAATCAAAAAATGCAACAAAAAGCTGTTTATGTAATAAAAAAAAATAGACATAGGATAAATTTTGAAATTAAGTGTTGTAATTAAATTCTAAGGTTGGATTTTGCTTAAAAATAACAAGCTAGAGCTTAAGTGTAAATAGAAAAGTGACAAGAAATTCAAATCAAGGAAGCAAAAAACATATTTTGGGCTAAAAGCACCTTATTAGATGAAAAACTTATGCGTATGATGAAAATAGTTAAATACAGTCTTGGATGGTTTTACTTTGTAGATGCATAAACAGCTACATAGTGTAATAAAAAAATAACCTTCGGCTACAGTTGACTGCAATAAAATGATATTTTCAATCCCAATAAATGCAAAATTAGTAATGTATATACGCAAAACAGCACTACCCTTTACCCTTATTAACATTTCGATGAGCATCGTATGTCTTTGTGTGCATATTAAAAATAGTGGATAATGAATAGTCCCACTATCCGTCGCCTAGGATAATCCGACCCTAGGGTGAGGCCTAAATTGTCTACTAAAAAAGTGCAGGCAAGGGGAGAAATGCACGAAAAAAACAACCCGGGCGAACCGGGGTAAGGGGTGACATGTGAATACTGAAGGATCCAAGCAAGTGGCGCAGGAAAGGGGGCCACGCTAAATTCTATATTATTTTATTATTTAATTTTGTTCATAAAGGGCTGCACTACATAGCACTCTAGTTGGTTAGGTCTCCAACCAGTTAAAGAAAATTAAAATTTTAAATGGAACAAACTAAAGATTTTTACATTATATGTCATTACTATTTATGTGTATTTTTCTTATTCCTTAACCATGTGCTTTGTAGGCACCTCTTCTGTATTTATAGGTTCGTAAATTCTACACGTGATCAATTCTTAATATTTTGATACAAAAAGCTGATCTAATCACAATAATACTTATTAAATACTTTTCACTGGGATACTCAAAACAGAATTTAATACTTCTGAATCAAAGTTAAAAATACTGAACAAAATTGATCCTTTTTTAGATACACAGTTTGGGGGTTTATGAATCTTAATACTTCTACGTAATAATGATGCTGCCATAAATAATCACAAGCCTAAGCCAAAAATCCCCAAGAATTGACGAACCGTTCAAGTTGGACCAAAATTCAAATTTATCTAATAAATATTTAGCTGATGGGCCCTGTTGGGGCATAATTTAGTTTTTTATAGAACTATCAAAAGCCGCATCGCAAGACTGCCGGTGTTCCAGTAGAGTTACACAATATAAATAATTTATATTACATTATAAAATCTCTCACAACTTATAGAAATATAGAAATATATGTATCACATCACATAACAGAACAATAGCAACAACCACTGATCAACTAACAATAAGGGATATGTATTTCGTTATTAGGGGGGTGTACTCCTTTCCGACGACTTGCGAAGCGGCGAGTGGCAGTTTTGGCATTGATCACAGCCGTAAGGCCCCCTACCAATCTCCAGACGCTGCCAATATCCCCACATTCTCAAAATCTTGTAAACTGAACAATTTGATAGTTATATGTAACTTTTACAAAATTGGCGCAGTCATAAGGATTTGAGCGTTAGTACTGCTCAATGTTTTTTAATAAAATCAAAGGATTGGATAAAGTTATTAAAAAAATTATAAAGCATTTCTACTATTACTTAGTGATGGTATTTGAAACTAATAGAATTCAACAAGATATGCAGTTTGACAGAAATCTTTTAAAACGTTTAATTGTAAATTGTTAAATTATGTTGGTAATGAGGTATCCAAACGTTTTAGTAGCTGTAGATAGTAAAAGTTTGTTATAGACTTCAATACAATGAAACGATTTTGTTGTTACAACAGATGAAAAAGAATGTACAGGATGTTGGCAAGCAATGTGTTTAGTGGCCCCTGCTTCCAACCTTGCTAAATTTGCATTATTCTCACCGCACAACCAGGCATCTTTCTTTCAGACTACCAAACTAATTCTCACTTCAGTTATCATATATATTTTTTATTATTTTTGCTATGTTTTTTATCCATATATTATTTTAAAATTTTTCAGTTTTATATCTTAAATAATATTTTGAGAATTGCTGTTTTCAGACTTTCATAATGTGACACTTCACATGGCGAAACTTAAAAAAATATATTTAAAAAAATAACGAAACACTTACCGGTATCATAAAATTCTAATTGTAGTGTAGCGTCTTGTCTTTTTTATGTTTACGCTTATAAACGACGAAATTAGAATACGTACACAAAAGTAAAAATATAAAATAAACCAATATAACTCTAATACTATCAAAACCGTGATACAATATAAAAGAAACTGTTTAAACTGGCATTAGAAGATGACTACGCTTCAACTCGGTCAATCTCTTAACTACACACTGATTAAAATAAAGTTTATACCTAAAATAACAAATTATAAAACAAAAAAGTGATTCCGAAAGTATAAGAAAATAAACTAAGACTAAAAGTAGAAAATTTAGCATTCGTTGTATGTTCGTGAGGGTGAAGTTAAGAGCGGTACCGAAGCTGAAGTTGAACACGGGGCATACGCGCCCAGGGAATGCGGAGGTGGTTGGAGCGAGATCGATCAGTGGCCGACGATGGGCTTAAGGGTTGGGCGAGTAGATGCGAATCGCTTGTATAGCAGGAAGGGAGCAAACTGGACATTGAGACTCGCTGCCCTCACATACTCTAGTCGCACAATCCATACAGAAGAAGTTATGGCCGCAGGGTACCAATGCGTGCGTTACTTTGGCATCGGTGCACACTAAGCATTTGGTGGTTGAGCTGAGCAATGAGTCTGCGGGGCTTGTGCTGTTGGCTGGTGATGGTCTCGATGGAGCTGATACAGTTGGATATGACCAGATGCTCGACAGCGCTGTGGATGTATCAAAGCTGGGGGAATCACCTAGACCTTCATCTCTGTCGTTGGAGCTCCAGATCGCTCCGAGGTCCCTGCCGCCGCTGCTGGAGGAACTGCTCGAGCACGAGCCTGAACTAGAAAAAGCTCCACTGCTACCAGTTGAAGATGTCATTGTCGGAAATGTATCTGTAGTGGGTTCCATGTAATTTAGAAGGGAACTCAGACCAGATTTATACAAGGAAGCAATCAGATCAGTATCGTCCAATCCGTTTAAACCCTGCAAGCCGTTGATGGTAGTTCCATTGCCAGTACGCATGGCGATATGAGCTTCGATTTCTCTTCTGGCTGCTTCTACACTTTCTGGCAATCCGGTAACTTCAAATACTGGTTCTTTATCACGACTGGGTGTGACGATGTATGTGTGAGTTTGATGTTGAATTCTCTTGATGGTAGCTCCCTTGGGTCCGACTACCAGACCGACTACGCGGTAAGGTACTCTTACTTGGATGGTAACGTGACCGGGGATATTAGCTGGTGGGCCTGGTGGTGTGCTGGCGCCTGAACCTAATCCAGCTAAATTGTTTTTTCGGGAAGCTCTAATCTGTGAGAAATGCTCTGCTGCTGAAAGAATTTCTCGTTTGGCTTTGGCGACATCCTCCTTGCGTCCTGTCACGACGAACACCGGTTCTTCGCCTCTAACCGGGGTCTTGATGTAAGTGTTGGTCTTTGCACGGAGAGCCTTGATTTTGCATCCTGAAACAAAAAGAAACAACATTAAGGATTTGCCAAAGTATCTTGTTAAATTAAATATAAATTTTTCGGCTTTTCGTGTAGTCAATAATTATAATGTCTGGGGTGTCGGTATACCCAACCGCAAGTCCAGGTAAGAAGTTCACCGCGGTGAAGACAATAGATATTGGGTGAATGGACTTTGTCTTAATAAATAATTCGTCCGGGTCTGATGGTTCATAATTTTCGTTATACAGGGTGTAAAATTATAACTAAAATGTAATAAAGTGGTGAACTGCAAATGCTCAAACCAGTAACATTGTATTTGTTATATTTATAGACGGTGTTCTATTAAAAAATACTAAACTCAAACGATTTGAGAGTATAAGTGATTTATAGCTTTAAATTCATGTTTCTATTAATTAAAGAACTCTAATCCTGAAAAATCGATATAAAAAATTAGCAAAACAAAGCTTATTTTTAACTAGTACTAATCAAAACGATAACAATGATAAGGTCATGGTAGACATAATGTAGAAAATATATTATAAAATAATAATGTGATTAAAACAAATAATGGATGTAATAATAGATCTGCCTTGCGAAAAATGAAAACCTTTATTATTTTCAATACAATTGCTATCTGTAAAAAAAAGTAATGTTTCTTTGCCCTGTAGCCGATATACTTATTTTAGATTTTGGCTGTACATTGAAGCAAAAATTACTTGTATAAAAGTATACCTTTAAAATATTGGCCTTAAAAGTTCTAAGGATCTGGAATAATAATTTAAATATAAAATTAGTAGAAATAATTTTAGTAATCATCTTAGGATCCTTAATAAAGGAGTGAAAATATAGATTATTATCGGTTAAAAATAGAATAGTGTTAATAATAAATCAGCAGAAACTAGAGAAATAAATGAGACTACCATTTAAAGGAAAAAAATCAATATTTAACCCTGCATCACTCGCGCTATGAGTATTTCTCTCACACCTACCAGTAAAATGCAAATTTTATTAACGGTAAATCACGCATACTGCTACCCCCACTTCTAGCTGAGTTTCTAAGGGTCTTCGTTGTTACGCTTGAGCGCATGCAATATTTAGTGCATGTTGGTAATAGATATCGGGCACTTGTCGATCGTGTGCAGATCTCTGTGAGAATTTCTCTCATCGCGCAAGTTCTAACGTAGTATATTTTCTTAAGGTTGAATAAAGTTTTGGTAAGTAAATTTAAGATTTTTTTATACATAACTACTTTATTTGCTTTTTAAATAAGGTCAAGGTGTTCTATTATTGTGGTATTGTTATTTTAGATAGTAAACAATGAGTAGAGGACTGACGCTTGCAGAATTAGGGCGAATTCGATATGAAGAGGCACAAAGAGAAGGTATGTCAGCTAACATACCATGGAGTGGGCAAGAGGAATGTCAAAATCAAGAAATTATGGAAGATGGCGGACGAGTGGATGTTGAAAGTGACGCTTCCAGTGAACATAGTATGCATAATACCGATTCCGAACAATCTGATGTAGAAGTTGAAAATTTTGTTTATGAAGTTGACGATAATCCCGCATATACATCAAAACATCATTTCACTGGTAAAGACAAAAAAACTCACTGGATGGCTTATCCTCCACGACCTAACGTAAGAGTGCCTACAAAAAATATTGTTAGTCATCTTCCCGGAGTAAAAAATATTGCAAAAGATGCAAATACTGTCGAAGCATGCTGGGAATTATATATTACAAAAGAAATGGTTGAAGAAATCGTACAATGCACAAATATCTATCTAGCAAAAATACGAGGTAACTATACGAGAGAAAGAGATTGCCGTGACACAGACGCTACAGAAATATATGCTTTTATCGGCCTCCTATACATGGCTGGGGTACGAAAGGCTCAATATCTAAATACTAAAGAACTTTGGGCTGATTCAATATTTGCTCCTGCTTGCTTTAGACTAACGATGTCACGAGAACGATTTCATATTTTAGGAAGAGCACTAAGATTTGACAATATCAATGACCGAAACGAAAGAAAAAAATACGATAATTTGGCTCCCATTCGAAACATATTTGAACAGTTTGTGTCCAAGTGTCAAGAAAACTACCAAGTTGGAGAGTATTGTACAGTGGATGAAATGTTGGAAAGCTTTAGAGGGCGATGTAAATTTCGGCAATATATAGCCAACAAGCCGGCCAAATACGGCATTAAAATATATGCCTTAGTTGACTCAAGGATGTTTTATACCTGCAATATGGAGATATATGCAGGAAAACAGCCAGTTGGCCCTTTTTATCTAGACAACTCTGCATCTGCTGTTGTTATGCGTATAGCAAATCCCATATTAAACACAGGTAGAAATATAACTATGGACAATTATTTCACGTCAGTGCCGTTAGCCAAACAATTACTTGATAGGAAAACTACACTTGTTGGTACCCTAAGGAAAAACAAGAGGGAAATTCCGCCAATATTTATAAATGTGAAAAGACCTGTACCTAGTAGCATGTTTGGTTTCCGAAAGAATACTGTATTATTATCGTATAAACCCAAACCTCAGAAAAACGTATTGATGTTATCTACATTTCATTCTGGGGACTACATCGATCCTGAATCTGGCGAACTGGAAAAACCTGAGATCATTACATTTTATAACCTAACAAAAGGAGGTGTCGATGTGGTTGATGAATTAAAATCAACTTATTCTGTTTCCAGATATTGTTGCCGATGGCCACTTAGAATTTTTTTTACAATTTTGGACGTTGCTGCTATTAATTCCAATATTGTATATAAAAGTAATACCGAAGTTATTGAAGAACGTAGAATTTATCTCAATCATCTGGCCGAAGCTTTGATTAAACCTCTGTTGATTCGTCGTTCATCGATCAGGTCTTTGCCAATTAATATTCGAAGCATGCTAAGGGAATATTTAAATATGCCTCAGATTGAACAGAACAGAGAATCTGTTCCAGATTTCTGTGGATTTTGTCCAAGAAGAAAGAACAGGAAGTCAAAAAAACGATGTGTTAGCTGCAATGTTGCCATTTGCACGGAGCATACCACCTTCACATGTCCAACGTGTTCTGGCGTAAACGATAATAGTGGTACTTCAGATGATTAAATTTTTGATTAATATTATGTTTATTTTATCTGATTTAAGGATAACATTAATTTAAAGATAGATGTAAAATAAAATATACAGGGTATTTTTTTTTAGTTCTTAGCATTGTATAAGTTTTCTTTTTAGTATTTTTAATGTACTTATAACTCTATTTTTGGCATTTATTTTAAATAAACCCTTTTATTATTACCAATAGTTTTGTTTCATTTGCATAAAAAAAAATAAAAACAGTTACACCGAACAAAATCTTGAAGGGTTCGTCGTGTGAGAGAAATTCTCACGCGCGAGTTCTCGCGTAATTTTTTAAGGCGCGAGTGATGCAGGGTTAAAAAAGGGTACACAGCAACTGGAGCACCCTCGTAGCTTATAAGAAATAAAGTGTTAAAAAGGGAGAACTTTAGAATTAATAGAACTGTTGAATGAGCTGGAACGCGATAAACCAACGTAACGGATTTCCTTACGAAAACATGATATTTCTTCTAGATTTGATCACAACATACGGTCGTTAACATAAAGTTCTCTTTAGATCGTCCAACACTCCGTACGCCGAACAATCATACGCCGTAAGCGCAAACATTCCCACGATGCGGTGTCAACTTCAGACACTAAAAAATTAGAAGAGCGTCTCTTCTTAGAAGAACGGAAGTGCGACTATCGACCCCCCTTCTGGGCCCCCTTTCGACCACGGCGACGTCGCCCTTCAACCTGCCGCCAGGTCAGATGCACTTACCTTGTGCGCGGGCGCCTGTAACCGTTGCCCAGACTGCAGGAGAATTGCATCGCGGCTCCTAGTTAAAGAGTACCGTCATGTTATGCACTTCAGATCGAAATATCTCATATAAGTAGATCACATGAACGCTTGTTTTTATAATAATAACGGCAGATCAATGTGCGAGGCGTCATGAAGCTTTATATCTTATAAATGGAGAGAATAAAAAGAGTAGAAATCGTATTTGTCAGTATGTTCGTTCGTTGCAATGTGTATTAGTTGCACTGTTATTCGTATATACTATATACTGATGAGAATGTCTTTTCTGACTGTATCATTGATCCTTAAAAAATTAGCTGACACTAATCTCACACAGAAGGAATAACAGCCAGTCAGTTTGTCTTACCTTATATCAAATAGCCTTGTATTCGTATCTGACATCTCCTGTTTGCTCTGCGTCTCCATACCGTGGTAAAAGTTCATCTGAAATATTTCATAAAAGCTATCTCTTTTTCGAACACCGATACATTTGGGGTGATCGCAGTGATTGCGAGAAAAAGTAGAATCATTCAAATCTTAAAGCCTCAGTCTGTTTTTACAGACAGAAAATTAGGTAACAACTTATGCTTAACGATATGCAGACCACACTGTGATCATAGCAACGAGTATACAGGATCTACAATATCTTATCGAAAGCTTTAGTATGAATAGTGCAGAGATGGGAATTACTATAAACGCTAAAAAACGAAGTACATGCTAATTACACACAGACCACAAAATATACATCACTTATTGACAATCAATGGTAACGTGATAGAACAAGTAGAAAAATATCAGTACTTGGGAACTTTGATCAATGAAACCAGTGATCATGCTATAGAAATAAATAGGCGAATAGAGATTGCCAGATCAGCATTTATACAAATGAAGCCACTCCTAACGTGCAAAAATCTAAATTTGGATATCAGACTATGTACCATTCGCTGTTATATATTATCAATACTATTATATGTAGTCGAGACTTGGACATTAAAAAATCCAATTTAAAAAGAATCGAGGCTTTCGAACTCTGGTTATACCGCAGAGTATTAAAAATATCATGGACTGATAGAATTACAAATAAAGAAGTTCGTAAAAAAACAGAAGGGTTCGTAAAGAAACAGAACTATCACCACTATACAAACCAGAA